ATTTTTTTTTTCGTGATCTTAGATCGATATGCTATTTTTACGTCATCAAACAGGACTTTCGTATCTTAGTTGTTTATAAGAAAATATATCAAGTTATGATATTAATTATGTTAATTATTTGCTATAATAATCAATATAATTTTTACGAATACATAGGATATCAATTTCTGATTTATTTAGAAATTAAATATAATTAAATAATTATAGATTTTGATATTTATAAATATTTTTATAAAAAGAATGTTATTAATCACTCAGGAAAAGATTTATATTTGTATAGAATATATTATATTATATAGAATATATAGAATATGCATGTCTGTGATATATTGAAATATATTTATCTAAAAATGCGAGCACATGAAATATAATTTGACAACAGTCAGTGTGTTCTTAATCCATTTCGTAAAATTGAGTAAAAGGTTGCCGTCAGTTAAAGTGCGAGAACTCACGCGATATTCACGAATCGGTGAGGCAAATGTTTTCAATGTGTGGACATATTAAAAGTTCACAAATAATCATGTGGAAATTTATAATTATCTAATCGAGCAGGACCGAAAGAAACTAATAATCACCTCATTTAATTAAATATATTATAACATTTTAAAACTATTCTCTCTCATTGCTTTCCAAAATTATATTAATTCTATTTGAAATAAATAAATAATACGATTACGGAACTCTGTGAATAATAAATAATTTTAATATTAATATCAATTAAAATTAATATTATTTATAAAATCTTTCATTTCATAATCCCGTGATTAAATAGGAAATAATTCTTCTATTAATAATATTTATATTACACAGAATAAATAATATTAATATTAACATTTTATTAATATTAAGAGAATCTTACGTTATATGATTAGACGAATAAATGATAATGTGCTCCAAAGTGGGATAGACTTCTTTGGCGGTCAACAACATCTTCGGATAATTTTGCACTTTGAACATGTCCGGTGAGACAATCGCTTTTATGCCAACTTTTTGCAAACAATAAATTAATTCATTCTGTTGATAAGCCGGATTAATCGCGACAACGATTAATCCCACCCTCGATGCACTCAGGGAAGTTATGAACCATTCGAGATCATTCGGACCCAAATGCCCAGCCGATCGCCCTTCTTCATTCCTAATTTCTTGAGGCCCGCAGCAAAAGCGTCAACCCGTCGAAGAAGGTCGGAGAACGTTAATCGAATATTTTGATGGATCGAAACGATACAAGTTTGTTCGGGCCACGTTGCAACAGCTTCGCCGAGTGTTTGCCCGACGGTTTTGTCCGACAATGGAAATTCGCCGGGATTATACATATGAGCAACTTTGATTGCTTGTGAAAGATTAGCTTTCGTTTGGATGTTAGACTTGCGATGTTGACATCGTCCTGCAATTGCAATTAATCGCAAACGTAAATCTATACACGATCGTTTTTCAAATCATACATATCTTTGAATTTAGATATTTTCTATATCTTTTCTTTATAGTTTCCTTTATTAAATTTTATGTAACTAATCTTCGTATTAAGATAATAGCCATTAAAATAACGGTACAGACGTTTTAAAAATAACAATATATGAATTATATTGGCGCATTCTTCAGTATAGTGAGGTGATTATATAAAATAGTAAACATATAAAATAGAACGAACTTTAAAGTTGCATCTTTATTTGTTCATTGATTTATTCACTTACCTTCAAAATTAGTGTGTGATATAGAAAGACATCGTAAATAGCTGTGACGATTTACAATTCTAAACATAATAGATCGTGAAATCGAGTTACACAGAGAAAGCATCTTTCCAATGAAGTAGTTACTTGTATCGCGTAAACAAGTACAAAACCCTGCAGTTGTATACTAAAACAGAAAAATAACATAAAAACATAAAAAATTTATTGTTATCATGTTTTATCTGGTTTACGCTTAATATCTGGTTTACGCTTTTATCTGTTTACGCTTTAATTATCTGGTTTACGCTGGTTACGCGTATCTGGTTATCTGGTTTATCTGGTTTTATCTGGTTACATTTTAAAATATCTATATTTATAATTAGTGTTATCTCTTTCTAATATTAGACATATGTGAAATCTTATATGAAATCTTATATGAAATCTTATATTATTTAGATTATTGTTCAATGTACTTGGCTTTAATGTATTTGGCTAATTAATCATTGATTTCATATTTAGTTTTGATTTTTTTCAGGAAATTATATATTTAGGAAAATATTATATATATTTTTGAGAGAAATTTTTTTATAAAGGTATTCACATTATAATACATATAATTTTACAAAGTTTGCGAATTATTACCTGTAATTAATTTCAATTATAGAAATATGAGAATTATAATACGATCCGAACACGCAAGTTTTTGTAAATTGTTTTGGTCTTAATTTTTTTAATTCGAAATTTACTTGGATATATATATATAATATATATATATATATTATATATAATTATTATTATAGATATAAGAAATATTCTGTGTAACTATGTTTTGGTCTACGCAGGCAAATGTAATAAATGTCTACGTAACTATAATTATGATTGCGCAGTAAAATATGTAAATTTCCACACACACACACACCACACACACACACACACACACACACACACACACACGCACGCACGCACGCACGCACGCACGCACGCACGCACGCACGCACGCACGCACGCACGCACGCACGCACGCACACATATATATATAATTATAAATTATACAAATATATATTCCACAAAATGATAACTGTCTATTCTCTTTATTAATATAATATGTCAAAATATATTATGTCTAATCTAAATAGAAATGAGAAAAATTTTACAATATTTACCTTTTGATTGATAAATCACAGTTTACTTGGCTATCGTTAAGTGTCACAAATCTGAGTTTTTTTTTACTAATCAATGCATTCGGCGTTGCAACGCTACTGTGTCGCTTGATAATAATTTTTAATAATATGTCACTTGTCTTCTATTTTTTTAAACAAGTAATTTTAACGTGTCACTTCTTTCCTTACACTATTCCGCACTATACTTTAATAAATGTATCTTTTATACGTACATACATATACATAAATTTTAATAAATTTATCTTTCATATGTACGTACACATACATATACATATCACATGTATGTGCGCACATGCGCACATATGATTTTGTCACTTAAAGCATTGTACATATCGAAGCAATAATCATATATGCAGCGATGTGAACGCCGCTTGAGTGACAAATTCGCTTTGCGTGTGTGCGTGTGAGCATATGCACGTGAGACTACTGGAAATGAAGGAAACGAGAAATGTCACAATTCTGATATTCGATCATCATTTCTCAGGATTGACTGCATCGATTTTGTTCAAACAAGTCGCAATCGAAAGCATTTATTCACGCCGTTTTATAATAAAAGTGTCATTAGATTTTTGATTACGGCTTTAGTTTATTAAATATCTTAACCGAAAGTTTATTGACGCGAAATTCCGGATAAGGTACTTGGTAGCGCCGCGTCGAGAGCAGTGACTCCCAACTCAATACGTGGAACTTAATGCTTGGACTTGTTTTTATGTACTTGGCGTCGCGACGCTACCACGTCGCTTGATATTGTAGTTGTCATCCTCAAAAAAATATAATTATTTAATTCTACTTTAAGAAAATTACAATCTTTGATTTAAAAATATTATTTCCTATTTAACATTGTTTCAACATTCTTTCCACTGAAGAAAATTAAATCTTAAATCATAAGAATATATTTTTCTTGATTGAACTATATAAAATGGCTTCATTTAAGCAAGTAATTATTCAAGCAATTATATTTTTCTTTAATTAACGCATATATATAATATAATCTCATTTTAAGATTTCCATATTAAAACTAAAGATATTTTCGAAACAATAATGTTCTTTTTTTGTGTGCACGTATATCATCCACCTACCTATATCCGCCAAGTAGCTACCGGATATCCATTAGATATACACGTATTTCACATGTCTACATTCACACACAAAAAATACAGAACATTAAATTTTAGCACAATTTTTTAACATCTTTGAATAATTAGCCACAACAAGCAAAAAATCACTTCATCTAAGGCAGTATAAGACCACGGCACAAATTTAACGAGTTGTGGCTTATCGGTCAAAGAGCGCAGATTATTATAGCCGCATTTTCTCTAGCTTTTGCGAGGAACTCCAGAACTCTATATAAATTAAGTCAGATGGTTAATTTTTTTTGGCGAATTCCGTCATACATGTATCCATATACAGAACATTGAACAAATATCCATCTAAAAATAAATATCAATATACATGTAATAAATGACGGCAATGATCTTTACGGACGAAGCTTCTGTTTGGGGATATATTACCATTCGACGTTCCTGGTCAATAGATGGTCCTTGGCCAATAGATTAATACAACGGACCGTTAAACACCCTGTAAAAGTTCATCTTTGGGGCTGCTTTTCAAAACAGGGTTTTGGAGCATTACATCTGTTTACATACAATTTAAATGCTCCGAAAATGCTTAATATTTATGAAAAGTGTTTGTTGCCGACTGCTGAACGATGTTTCATAAAAAAAAACGAGGATCTTACAGGAAGACAACGACCCAAAACATCGGAGCAAGCTTTGCACCGAGTGGAAAGAGCAGTCTGGCATCGTCACACTTGATTGGCCATCGCAATCGCCAGATGCAAATCCCATTGAAAATGTGTGGGCATATCTCAAACACATGCTTCGAGGAAAAAGAGTATGCACTTTGAAGCAGCTGACACGACAAATTCGTCTCATTTGGAGGTCTTTACCGAACGAATACGCAGTCAACTTAGTGGAAAGTATGCCTCGGAGATGTCAGGCAATTATCAATGCCGGTGGTGACTGGACTCATTATTAATGGTATAGCATTTTTCTTTTCATGTAGTACAACAAATCCATGTACTTATAAATCATTAAAAATAAATTTTTCTACACATTAACCTGTACACGCTCTTACTTTACAGACTGTATATATATATATATATATATATATATATATATACATATATATATATTAAAAATATCTGAATGTTGTTCGTATTTTTGCGGGATATTGATTTATACATACCCTGATGTACGCTCGGCAACCAAAATGCCTTAACACCTGAATTTGCGCGTGTCAAGACATATTCGGATGACGTACTTTCACTCTATTATAATTGCGCATCATGACTATTTAATATCTGGCAACGATGTCCCAAAGCGATTTTACGCAAAATTCAAACTAATGTGTGACATATCTGAAAAAGTGGTTATATGTCAAATATGTCAAAATGTATATGATTAGAAAATAAGTAATGCACATTAATTATATAAATATTAAAATAAAATACATTAAATATATAAAAAATATAGCGTGATATGAATTACACATATTATTGCCAGTTTTTTATTGTGTGTCGCAGATTTGAGGATGAGCGACTGCTGCTTAAATATAAAAACTTAATATGTGTAATTCATATCACGCTTTATATTTTTTATATATTTAATGTATTTTATTTAATATTTCATATAATTAATGTGCATTACTTACTTTTAATCATATACATTTTGACATATTTAACATATGTTAAACCACTTTTTCAGATATGTCACATATTAGTTTGAATTTTGCGTAAAATCGCTTTGAAACATCATTGCCAGATATTAAATAGTCATGACGCGCAATTATAATTGAGTGCAAATACGTCATCTGAATATGCCTTGACACAGGCAAATTCAGGTGTTAAGGCATTTTGGTTACCGAGTGTACTTATGAAACCTCGAATTGCAAACATTTGAATATCTACAACATCTGGAATGACTATTTATATTCGTGGATATCTAATACCAATTATTTTTCGTATGGGGGAGAGAGAGAGAGAGAGAGAGAAAGAAGGAGAGGGAGAGAGAATAATATGTATAATATATATTATATAATATTAATATATATAATAATATATATAAATATAATATAATATAATATAATGAAAATATAATATAGTATTTATATACAAATTATATAACTTATATAAATAATAGCATTATAATAACAATATAAATATTCTATATAATTATATAATAAATATTTTATACCGTTTTAATATGATTGCTGATTAAAAATAAAGCAGTCCATTGTCTAACTCTCATTCTGAAAGCTCTGTTTTTTAAGTGTTTTTCAATCATATTAAAACGATATAAATAATGTTTCTTCTTAAATAAAATTGTATCTCCTTAAACAAAAAATAGAAAACTTCAAATATTTTAAAGCGAAGTTTTATTTTTCGAAACATCTTGTATTTTCGCTAGCAAATTGTGCTTTTATTTGTACATATTCAATAGAGTGATTTGATTACAAAAAGTATAATTGCATCTTTTCCATGCATTGTTGAATTCAAGAAAAAATAAGATCATTGAAAAATAATTATTGTTATATTATTCAACTTTCTTTCATTTCTTTATCTTTTTATTTGCATTATTATCAACTATTCTCCAGAAAATCATAATGGATTATTATTCTGGATCTTTTGTGTATCAGGATGTATAAAATTAGTATACATTGCCAGAATTGAAAAGATTTATTAATTATTATACAATAATAAAAATGTTATAATGTAAATTATAAAATAGATATAAGAACTGCTTTTAATAACATTCAATAATATTATGCTTTTAATAACATTTATTTATTAAATAACATTCAATAATAATTTTATATTTAGAAAATTTTAATAACATTTTGTTTGACAAATGCAGTTATTAAAAATTAAATTTTATTACAAAATTTTCGTTAAAATCAATTATTATCACAAATTTTTTTATCTCGTTGGTATCACGCCACTGTTCTCCAATTGTTCTTTTAAACGAAACTTCTGAATTTTTCCACTAGTGGTTTTTGGATAGTCATCTACAAAATGCACATAACGCGGTATTTTGAAATGTGCTATTTTACCTTTACAATAATCTATCAGTTCGTTCTTTGTCATTTTCGCATTGTCGCTAAGTTGAATGCACGCACATACTTCTTCTCCGTATACTTCGTCATACGCTCCTATAACTTGTGCCTCTATTATTTTAGGATGAGTCATTAGAAAATCCTCAATTTCCTATAATAAAAAATAAAACATACAATTAATATGAGTGAAATATATTGATTATTGCTTCAGAAAATGAAATATATTGATTCTTGCTTCAGAAAAGTGGCAATCAAAATCAAATCAAAATAATGATATCGTTAATAGCAAACAAAATAAATCTTTAAATTACAGCCATATTTAGATAAATCATTAGATATATCTATTTATACTTGAATTATCATTTTTTTCGAAAAGAGTTTTTATCAAATATTTTTTCATTTTTATTATACATAATAACAAGCATATTACTTGGATATAGCAAATACTGCGAATTAAATACTAATATATAATAATGATATTTATATAATTTTACCTTAGGGAAAATATTTTCTCCTCCCCGAATAAGCATGTCTTTTAATCTTCCGATTATCACGCCATATCCGTTTTCATGCAAGATGAATTGATCCCCAGTTTTCAACCAACCATCCTGCGTCAATGTCTTCCTTGTATTCTCTTCGTCATTCCAATAATTTAACATATTGGAATATCCGCGTACCCAAAGTTCGCCAGGTTTTCCGAAGGCAACAGGCAAACCATGTAGATCGACAACCTTTTTGTCAAATACATTAACAAAACTTTAAAAGCTCTAATGTAAATTTTTAAACAAAATATTGTATCGAAATTAAAAACAATATATACCATTGCTTCGATATGATCTCCTAAATAACCCACGGTGGTCTCAGATAAGTATTTATCCTCTTCACGTATCGATTGAAATACTGCACTTG